TGTATGCAGGTCAAGAAGCAACAGTTAAAACTGGACATGGAACAACAGACTGGTTCCACATCGGGAAAGGAGTACATCAAGGCTGCCTGCTTATTTAACTTACACACAGAGTACATCATGCAAATTGCCAGACAAGCTGGAATCAAGATTGCTGGGAGAAATATCAATAATCTCAGATATGCAGATAACACCACCCTTATGGAAGAAAGCAAAGAAGAAGTAAAGAGCCTCTTGATGAAAGCGAAAGAGGAGAGTGAAAAAGCTGGCCTAAAATTCAACATTCAAAAAACTAAGGTCATGGGATCTAGTTCCACCACTTCAGGGCAAATAGATGGAGAAACAATGAAAACAATGACAGACTTTATTTTCTTGAACTCAAAAATCACTGCAGATGGTGATTGCAGCCATGAAATGAAAAGATGCTTGCTCCTTGGAAGAATAGCTATAACAAACATAGTCAGCATATTAAAAACCAGTGACATTACTTTGTCAACAATGGTCTGTCTAGTCAAAGCTATGTATTTCCAGTGGTCATGTTATGGATGTAAGAGTTGGATCATAAAAAAAGCTGAGCGCCAAAGAATTGATGCTTTTGAACTGTGGTGTTGGAGAAGACTCTTGAGAGTCCCTTGGACTGCAAGGAGATCCAGCCAGTCCATCCTAAAGGAGATCAGTCCTGAATGTTCATTGGAAGGACTGATGCTGAAGCTGAAACTCCAATACATTGGCCACCTGATTCAAAGAACTGACTCACTGGAATAGACCCTGAGGCTGGGAAAGATTGGGGGCAGGAGGAGAAGGGGACGTCAGAGGATGAGCTGGTTGGATGGCATCACCAACTCCATGGAGATGAGTTTGAGTGGACTCTGGGAGATGGTGATGGACAGGGAGGCCTGGCGTGCTGCAGTCCATGGGGTCACCAAGAGTCGGGCACGACTGAGCAACTGAACTGAACTGAACTGATTGTTTCAGAGTATAATTTTAAGTAATGCAAACAGCCAACTCATTGGAAAAGGCCCTGGTGCTAGGAAACATTGAAGGCAGGAGGAGAAGAGGGCAGCAGAAGATGAGATGGTTGGATGGCATCACTGACTCAATGAACATGAACTTGGGCAAACTCCAAGAGATGGTGAGGGCCAGGGAGACCAGGTGTGCTGCAGTCCATGGGTTCACGAACCGTTGTAAATGACTTGGGAACTGAACAAGAGCAAATCATTTTACGACTTCACAAACTAAGGATATTTAAGACAAATCTCTGCAGAAATAAAAGCCAGGCAAGATTTCAGAACACTGTGGAAGGAGAATTTATCGCTGGCTGAGTGTCACTCAGAGAGGACAGCTCCAAGAGTGCCACACATGGGCCACACTGAAGCCTAGAAAACGCTAAAGCTACATTTCCAGAGAGGGAAAACTCGTCTGAACACCAGTATTAGCATCAGGACACAAGTGGCACCAGACGCACCTGCAGACTTGTCAGGGTGGCTGTGACATTCGGCACAGGATGAAAGGCCGACCACGACACCCGCTGGCACGGAGCTCGCTCACCTGAAAAAACCCTGAACTCTACTGCGTTCTGGGGCAGGAAAAAGCTCTGAGCCCGCCCCAGCACCTTCTGGAAACTGCTAGCACTGCAGCCCAGAAAGCCCAGCTCTGAGCTGAAAGGAGGCAGGGTGCTGATTTAACATTCTGCAGCCACCCCAGCCCCAGGGCGGGGAGCCCGTCTGCAGAGTTGCTCAGCAAAGAGGCCTGATGAATCTGGGATGTCGGCTTTCAGGCAGCGTGTGTTCGGGCCCTGGTTTATGAATTATGTACTGAAGCTCAATGAATTTCTGTAGGAGGGATGGGTGTGCTATTCACAAGCGATGTCTTAGTCAGTCTTTTAAGTTGAGGATTTTAAGTCTTTTAAGATGAGGATTTATGGGCCTATATGTAATTACCTCATCTGAGTTCATTCATCCTTTCACCAAAGATCTTGAAGTGCCTCTTGCAAATATGGTTTTGGGGACACAAAAATGAATAAAATATGGCCCCTGACTTCAAGAAACCACAGTCTAGGTTCAAGAGATCCACGTGTGAGCAGATAATTAGGGTTCCATGAGGTTAGTGCAACAGAGGTTTGAACACTTCCCTATGGGCTTGAAGAAGAGGGATGATGACCCGTGCCTGGAGGGAGACAGGGTCTGGGGGCTCGAGTGGAGCATCGTAGGGTGAGGAGGGGTGTGCCAGGTGGATGAGAGCTGAGGGAGAAGCATGAACACAGTGCAAAAGCAAAAGCCTGCGTGTGGAGGCCTGAGGATCCTCAGAGGCCTGCCGTGCACGGAGCAAGGAAGGCGGGTGAGGGGCAGCTGACTGCGGCCTGGGGGTCACTTTGGACATGGGTTCAGCTGTCATCATAAAAATGTCCCTAAAGAACAGTGGCTTTAAAAATAATTTTTTTTTTTTAATAGGACTTTCTGGCAGTCCAGTGGTTAAGAATCTGCCTGCCAATGCAGGGGACACGGGTTCAATCCCTGGTCTGAGAAGAGTCCACGTGTGGAGGGACTTAGCCTGTGCCCCACAGCTCCTGGAGCCCATGGGCCCTGGAGACCACACTCCAGAAGAAGCAGAGCCGCCACCCCGAGAAGCCCTCGCGCCCCAGCTAGACAGGAGCCCCTGCTCACAACCAGAGACAGCCCGCGCACAGCAGCGAAGACCCAGGACCGCTGAAGATAAATAAAGACACACATTTTAAAATCAAATGAAGATTTTGTTCAAGGAAAGTCTGAGGGACTGTCACGTGGGGAGTTGACTGAATGTATTGCGGTCCAGAAGAACACTGGAGAAACACAAGATCAGCAGAATAAAGTATGTGCTTGAGTTGGTAGAACATCGTTCAAATATTGTAATAAACATGCCATTTCTCGTGTGAGATGTTAGTAAGAGCGCAAACAGTGCCAGCATATGGGAACTCTCTGAACTTCCCTCCCAAAGTGTCTGTAAGTCGAAATCTTTCTAACATGAAAACTTAATGAAATCAATCAACCAAGCAAAATTTCTCTCTGGCATAGGAAGATGAGCATGAGAGCCCCAGGGCGGGCAGAGCATCTTCTCAGTCAGAGGCCCCGGTTCCTTCCAACCTGGCGCCTGCCACGCCGGGTCTGGCCCTCATCCACACGGTCCAGCAAGGCTCACCCGCACCCCTGCACCCCGTGTCTTCCCCAAGGCTGAAATGACAGCTCCGTGCAGGCCCTATCCACCCCTACCCCCGGACGTTCACAGCACATCCTAAATTCACCCGTATCGCTTTTATATCCTCACATTCTACATTCTGGCTGGAAGGGGGAAGAAGACAAACCACTTCCCTCTTGGGGCAACTTGGAAACTGCACTTGGCGCTCACATGGAGAACCCCATGGAAGCCAGGGAAATGCAGTCCTTGCTCTGGGCGGCCACAGGCCAGGTTAATTGTGGGACACCCTGTTTCCAGGGGAACCAAGGGGGGAACGGAGCCTGCCAGGGCCCCGTCAGCAGGTTCTGCTTTGCAAGCGGTACCAGCGATCTCTGCAGTAAGCTGCCTGGAGAAACAGATGCAACAGCCTTGCATTTTCTGCTTGATTTATTCTGACACACTGGCTCAGTCGTGATCTTTCAAGTCCTCAAAACTAGAACTGTCAGGATGTGAGCAGTAATTCAACACTAGAGAGTAAAGAATGAGTCTTGACCCACATACACATGCTGAGTAGGCATGAATTCAGACACTGTTTCCGAGCACACTCTGAACCACGGGTGTGCATCACGGCCAGGGTTTACAGGAACGAGTCAAGAGCCCACGTCCCTATCCTAAGGACACAGGGCAGGGAAGTGAGGCGGAAGTCAGCTTTCACGTCTTGGGTCAGAATCCCAGTGTATCACTCGAGGTGCTGCTTGGGACAAATCATGCACCTTTCTTGGCCTCAACCACCTCACCTGCAAAAGGGGGTCAATGACGACTCTCCTTGGCCAAACTGAATGAGGTATTATACGACCCCCAGAGGCAGCTCAGTGAACAACTACTTCCTTCTAACTCAGGGCATCATCTGTGTGCAGAGCTCGGGGATAGACAGGAAATCCTGCGAGCTCCTGTGTCTTGGTCTTCCGAAATAAAAGGCTGGCTCGAGAGTTAGTGATTTGGAAATGAGAAGATGTAGAAATAAAGAATAAAGCTATGACAAACTTAAACAGGGATTAAAAAGCAGAGACGTCACTTCGCCAACAAAGGTCTGTCAAAGCTATGTTTTTTCCAGTATGGATGTGGGAGTTGGACCATAAAGAAGGCTGAGTATTGAAGAATTGATATTTCTGCACTGTGGTGTTGGAGAGGACTCTTGAGAGTCCCTCGGACAGCAAGGAGATCAAACCAGTCCATCCTAAAGGAAGTCAAGCCTGAATATTCATTGGAAGGACTGATGCTGAAGCTGAGGCTGTAATGATTTGGCCACCTGATTCAGAGAGCTGACTCACTGGAAAGGACCCCGATGCTGGGAAAGACTGAAGGCGGGAGGAGAAGCGGACAGAGGAGGATGAGATGGTTGGCTGGCATCACTGACTCCGTGGACGTGAGTTTGAGCAAGCTCTGGGAGGCCGTGGAGGACAGAGGAGCCTGGTGTGCTGCAACCCACAGGGCCGCAAAGAGTCAGACACAACTTGGCGACTTAGCAACAACAATAAAGAAAAACAGCTGTTGGGCTGAGAGACTGGAAACAGTTTAGACCATAATTCCGCCATATCGCAGAATCATCGAACTCCTGCTTCCCTAAAAGACACCGACAAAGCCCCGACACATGTTCCTAAGCTGGGTTTCAGGGAGCGGCGCCCCCTCCAGATGAAAGCCGCTGATGGCAAGTATGCAGACCCCAGACGTTGAAACCAGAAAGTTAAGATGCTCAGAATTTCACCATGATGACAAACCAGTCCAAGAACTGTGCACAAGCTGACCACACCCTGCTCCTTGAGCTCCATAAACCTCCTCGCCACCCCCTCCAGGCGGGACCCACAGTCCTGACGGCATGAGCCCACTGTGGCCCCCTGCGCCTGGCAAGGCAATAGAGCTCCTCTTCGCCATTTCACCCAGACTCTGTCTCTGCGCTTCTATGCGGCACTGGCGCACAGAGGCCGCGTTGCGGCACCGGAAACCACACTCCAAGAAAGGATTTAAAACCTGGTTTCTTATAGAGTCAAGGACACGTTTCCAGTGATGCGTTAGCCCAGTGATCAATCCTAACAGACACAACAAAGGGACAGGGTGACATCACGTCCTTCTGCGGCGCAGGGGGGACAGCGTCATCACCTCTACCATGTTCCTTCCAAAAACCCGCCATCTGAGGTTCATCACAAAGAAACGCAGACAAACCTAGATCGAGGAATATTTGAGAAAGCAATTGGCCCGTACGCAAAAGTACCAGTGTTACAGAGCACATAGCAGTGTGCCCACCAAGGCGAGGGGATTATTCCTGCTTGAAGGAGGTGGAGAAGTAAAACGAATGAACACAAACGTCTGAATAAGTCTTAATAAACAAATCACAAAACCCCGTAAAAGATACTGTTGGGGCAATTGGGGAAAATTGAACATAAACTACATAATAAGTAATAATGCGTCTCAATGTAAAATTCGTTGACCAAGAGATTATTGTGTTGGTTAAGTAGGGGAATGCCCTTTCTCTTAGGAAATAAATGTAGATTTATTTAGAGATGCAGTATCATGGTGACTGAAATCTACTTTCAAATGATTTTTAAAATGTGAGTGTGGGTCCCTAAGTATATGTGGAGAAAGACAGAAAATGTAAGACAAAACCTGGCAAAATGTTAGCAGTCAGAGAGTTGGAACAGGCTATATAATTTTTCACTCTGCTATTCTTTTAACGTTGTGGGTGGCTTTGAAAATTTTCAAGTAAAAGTTGGAGAAGAAAAATAAGATGCTGTGAAGGAAACAAATCTGAATCATATAAAAAAAGAGAAATTCTGATTTTACTGACCTATTGCTTCTACCAGGGACAACATAAAAAATAATAAAATATTTACATTTTAAAAAAAAGCAAGTTGTGTCAGTCCATTAGGGCCTCCACAACAGAGTTAACTACAGGCCAGGTGGCTGAGAAGCAACAGAAACATTTCTCACATCTCTGGAGGCTGCGAGGTTGAGGTCAGGAGAGGGAGAGCCCTTTTCTGGGTTGCAGATGCTAACATCCTGTGCTGTGAGAGGTGGAAAGAGCACAGACTGGCCTCTGGGGTTTCCCCTGGGGCACTGACCCCATCCACGGGGCCCCACCCTCATCAGCTTATCACCTCCTAAAGGCCCCACCTCCTAGTCCCGTCGCCCCGGCAGTTAGGTTCTAACACACGGATCTGGGGAGACACAAGCATTCAGCCCCTAACACTTGGGTCCCTGGCGCAGGGCAGGCCCAGCGCGGTCAGCGGACAGTGGGCGAAGTCGGATGGACAGGAGGGCTTCTCCCCACCCTCCAGGGCTTCACCAGGTTGCCACTGATAACCACACATGAAATCACGTCACCAGCTGGGGCAGGAAAGGGGATGACTGTCTTGTAAAATATATTCATACAGACATGAATTCCACACAAGATCAAAACCCATCAAGTGGCAGCTGATGTATTAAGCCTGGGGACAGAAGCTCATTAACAAGCCGGGGATTCTGGCTGCGGGGGGGGGGGGGGATGGGGTAGAACCGAGGAATGCAAAGGCGTCTGGGGACGTTTGGAATCCCTCCCCCCATTTTCCCAGGCGTTTGTAGAAATGGTTTGCTCTCAAGCAGCGGGAAGGTGGAGCAACTCAATTTCATTAGAGCAGGACTTGCCGTCTCGGTGGTTCAGAGCCACGGCTGAAAGGGGACTGCCTCGCTCGGCAGCAGGGAAGGTGGCCTGGAGGACCTGGAAGGGGACCGGGTTAAGGATGTGCGTCAGGACAAACGAGCTTACGAGACAGAAGGAGACTCACGGACTAGAGACTGGACGTAGGTCGGTGGGGCCTGGGCTGGGGGAAGGGAGAGTTGGGGAGCCTGGGATGGACATGAGCACTCGGCTACATTTAAAACGGACAGCCTGCAAGGACCTGCTGTATAGTACATGGATCTCTGCTCGTGTCACGTGGTGGCTGGGACGGGAAGGGGGCTAGGGGGAGCGTGGGTACATGTGCATGTATGGTTGAGTCCCTTCGTTGTTCACCTGAAACTACCACAACATCGTTAACTGGTTATATCCCAGCACAAAATAGGGCCTCCCTGCTGGCTCAGAGGTTAAAGCATCTGCCTGCAATGCGGGAGACCTGGGTTCGATCCTTGGGTCAGGAGGATCCCCTGGAGAAGGAAATGTCAACCCACTCCAGTATTCTTGCCTGGAGAATCCCATGGACGGAGGAGCCTGGTGGGCTACAGTCCATGGGGTCGCAAAGAGTCGGACACAACTGAGCGACTTCACTTTCACTTTCAACACAAAATAAAGTTTGAGAAAAAGAATGTGTATCAGGAGAAAACAGGCATTTTCTGGAGTGCAGTAGTTATCCAATAAGCTTTACATTAAAGAGTTTAGAAACTCCCAGAAACGAACACACATCTTGAGGGCACTGTGGGGGCACAGTCTGCCCAGTTAACTTGGAGAATCCCCGGACACACAGCTGGCTCCCACGCCAGGAGGACCCCGTCATACATGCTCATTGCATTGGCGATCATCTTTGCCCTCTTTGCTCCCCTGTCTCCAGCCTGTGTCTGGCATGGACACTACATGTTCCCGCTTTCAAATAGCAGATTCAACATAAAAAACGAACGGCACGGTGATCTCACAGAGGAGGAGAGGGAGCTCGAGTCACTTCAGATCTGTTAATTCTTTCTTTTAAATTTCTGCTGATTTATGTGATGACGTGGGGTTTCTACTTTTGTTGAAAATTTAAAACCGTGAAATCAAATGTGAATGCAGGATAGACCCCCCTCTTGAAAATTAGCGTAATTAAAACTGTAAACATTGCCTGTCCCTCTCCAGACCTGTGTGTACATCTGCGTGTTTTTATTCACTCACATGATTGTATGTACAAAGCTCAATGGAAGAGGATCAATCCGTCTCCTCTAGACGTTCTCCTTCTTCATTATTATTATTTCATGATTATTATTGTGAAGAATCTTGTTGTGTAAGAGACAAGACATTTAACAAAGTGGCCTCTTGGGGTGCCAGGTGGACATAGCAGAGTGAGCCCACACATCTCCTTCGCCCCCAAAACCCTTTCAGATAAACACAAGGGTTGCTTTAAAGACATGATCTGCCCTGAGCGGTGGCGGCAGGGGAGGGGAGTGCACGGCGGGGTTGGCAGCTGGGGCACCAACCAGACTCGCCCCGCAGAGCCCTGAGCACGCAGGCTGAGAGGCACCAGGCGCCTCTAGAGCTTGGGGCGCCTTGAGGACCCCGCCCCTCTCTGCACCACCGGTGACTGCCCCTCCCCCAGCCTAGCGGAAGGTGAGAGGTTTATTCAGGCGGATATGAAAGTGAGTCTCTGAACTGGGGGACTCAAGGCAGTTGAGGTCAGTGTTGTGACACTGAAAAAGCAAGAAGATATGTGTGTTCTGGATGGTGAAAACCTCAGACCTCTGCCCCACTCAGTCTCCAGAAGTCTTCCCCTTGAGGCAGGAGACTGGAGGATTTTTCCAGATGGAATCTGAGGAATCGCATCAGGACATCTCAACTAAATGAGCCGGCCACACCACCCTGCACCAGAGATCAAACTCGCCCCCTCGGTTTCCGGTCGACATTCAGTGTCCCATTCTTCAATATTAAGAGACCAAGGGTCAGCAGACATCAGAGGAAAGGCTCTGACCAGAAGGATGGGGACCAACATGAAGATGGGCCAAGATGGAAGCAGAAGAGCAACTTGGAGAAAACAGGGGTTTTACAAGAGAAGAAAGCTTAGAAAAGATTATTAATATCCTCAAAAAGATGACACTGCGATCATGAAACAGACAGGCTGCAATAAAAATTAGCATTCAGAGAACAAAAAAATGATTTTGGTAATTAAAATCATGACAGTGGAAATGGGAAGCTCAGTAGAAGGTTTAGAAGATGAAAGTAAGACAGAAATTTGACAATAAGATAAAGAGTTGGAAAATAAAGGAGGAAAATTAAGAAAATTTAAGGACTGGCCCACGAAGTTCAGGATTCAAGTTAGAAGAGTTTCAGAGGAAAAAGAATTAAATAAAGGGTGGGTGGGGACAGATAGGGGAGGGCGGTCTAAAAACCTCCCCAGAAGATGGGTTGCCCTGTTGCAAAGACCCACCAAGTGCTCACCAGGACACACAGTCACGAACCCTCAAGACACTGGAGACAGAAGAGACACCACAAGCTCTCAGAGACCGAGGAGAAAAGACCAAGAGTCAGATGGGTAGGCTGGCCTTGTATTCGTTTCTCATCACTACTGTAAACAATAACCACAAAGTTAGCAGCTAACAACACCACACGTTTAGCATTTGTGATCAGAAATCCCACATGGATCTTATAGGGCTGAAGTCAAGGTGTGGGCTCAGCTGTCTCTTTTTTGGAGACTCTGATGGGACAGTCTGTTTCTTTGCCTTTTCCATCTTCTGGGCATCACCACGCTCTTTGACTTGTGGCCCCTCAAGCTTCAAAGCCAGCATTTTCAAGTCTCTCTTTTCCCCTTCCCCTGCCAATCACCGCCCAACTCCACTTGCATTCTCACAGCTCCTGCAAGTCTGACTCTACTGCCTCCCTTTTATAAGGACCCCTGTGATTCCATTAGCCCACAAGGAGAGCCCCCTATTCCAACATCCTTAATATAGTCCCACCCTTTTGTCACGTGAAGCAGCACATTCACAGGCTCCAGGATTACAACTGTGCATCTCTGAGGGCAGAGGCATTATTCGGTGCCCCGGCCGGCACCGGATGTCTAAAGAGCAGCCCTGGAACGCAGCTGGCAGCCAGCACCCACTCCATTTGGCACAGAAATCACTCTCTGCCTGGAAGCTTTCTCTCCTCCACCAAACTATCAATCAAGTGGGAGGAGTAAAATGAAGACATTTTTCCAAAGTAAACTCTCAAAAGATTCACGTCCCACACATCCTCTCTCAAGAAACTCCTGGAGGATGTTCTCAAACAAATGACTCAACCAAGAATGAGAAGGCGGTGGGCTTACAGGAAGGTGTAGGTGCAGGAGGGGAAAGGAACGGTATTGGCCAAAGTGTTGAGACACACGGCAGGAGGACAGGGCAGGGCCGTCCTGATTCGAGGGATTCAGAAAGGCCCAGAAATGCTCCCTGGGGAAGCTGAACCGACTCTATCTGATGCGTGTGAACTTACTGTGCGTGTGTACGGATAATGGGTAAAGTGTAGGCGACTGAGTTATCTGTACGTTCATGGAAAGCCAGGCATGAATATAAAAACAATGATTTACTACAAGGAAAACAAAAGTTGTGCAGGAAAAGAAAACTGAATCATCGACTACTACTTTGGCAGTTTCATAGGTGCAAACAGTATTTCCTAGCCCTGAAAATGTGAATATTAATCATCTGTTTTGCCAAAACCAACGTAAAACAACCATGGGGGCGGTGAGTGAGCAGGGCTGGAGTGGGAAGCAGGGCTAGCCTCAAGTTTGAGTGATGATCAGAGATATGGAGAAAAACTGAAAAAACAGGAAAGAGTAATATGAGAATGCTATTTAGGGGCCTGGAGGCACAAGCCAAAATAGCCAACTAGAAGAGGTAATTGTTGCTGCTGTTTGGTCACTAAGTCCTGTCGGACTCTCGGCAACCCCATGGACTGTAGCCCCCCAGGCCCCTCTGTCCATGGGATTCTCCAGGCAAGAACATTAGATGAATTGCCGTTTCCTTCTCCAGGGGATCTGTCCAACCCGGGGCTCCTGCACCGGCAGGCGAATTCCTTGCCACTGAGCCGCCAGGAAAGCCGGAAGTGAAGGTGGAGAGAAATTCGGGCGAGAAAGAGAAACGGGGACTGCCGGGTAAGCACCAGCAAACCTTTTCTGCAGAGCCAGCCGTACAGGTCTCCTCTGGATTCATTTTCTGGCCAAATAGCAGAGTCCCCAATGCAGTGACTCAACACCATTTCTTAGCCCTCGGCTCTGTGGGTCAGAACTTGGCGCAGGTTGGCTGAATTCTCTGCCTGCTGCTCACGTGCAGAAATCAAGCTGCCGGGGACTCCTTGTACCTGGAGACCCTGGGGAAGGAGTTGCCCCCCAACGCTGGCAGCTTCGGGTCCTGGCACTTGTCGGACCGAGGAGCCCTTTTCTGCTCAGTGGCCCCTCTAAGTTCAAGGTCTCCTGTGCCTCCAATCTCTCTGCCTCCCTCTTTGGCTTTTAAGGGCCCACCCAGACGAGCCCAGGAGAACATCCTTATTTTAAGGTCCACTGATTAGCAACCTTAATCCCATCTGCAAGGAAGGCCCCTTTGTCAAGCAAAGTACCACGGTAACAGGTAACACAGACGGGGAAGGTCACACCCATTGGGAAGGTCACACCTCTGTCACCGGGACTTGGTTCTGTCCTCCAGTGCAAGAGCTGTTAACAGAGGGAAAACGAACACATCTGACCACAGGACACCCGGGGAAAGAGCCAGGAGCCACGGAGCCCACACGGCTGCCCCTGGGGAGGGGCTGAGGCGGGCGCAGGAAGGAGCCCGAAGCTCACTCCGCAGCCTCTCCTTCTGTGGTCACTGCACAGTGTTCTGATCAAGCGATAAAGACGGTAAAAGCGCCTGTGTGCGCTCCGCTGTGTTTAAAACGGGTAGCCAGCAGGGACCTACTGCAGAACAGAGGGAACTCTGCTCAGCGTTCCGCGGGAGCCTGGGTGGGACGGAGCTGGAGGGGGAAGGGATACATGTTCATGTACAACTGAGGCCCTTTGCTGCTCACTTGAAACCATC